TGGCGAATGTGTAGTTAGGTCATTTCGTCATTGTGTGAATATCGTAGATTGTACTTACACAAACCTAGATGGTACAGCCTACTACATACCTAGGCTATACTGTCCTAATCTTATGGGAACACCATCATTATGGGTCCATTATTGACTGAGATATTGTTCTGCAGTACATGACTGTATCTATAGATAGATAGATCTATATGAATATCTATATTTCTGATTTATTATAAGGAATTGGCTCACACAATTATGGAGGCTGACAAGTCCCAAGATCTTCAGCCAGCATGTTGGAGACCTAGGAGAGCTGACGGTGTAGTTCCAGTCCTAATGCCAGCAGGCTAGAGACCCAGGAAACGCCAATGTTTCAGTTAAAGTGTGAAGGCAGGAAAAAAATGATGTCCCAGCCCAAGGCAGTCTGGCAGAAAATTTCCTCTTACTTACAAGAAGGTCAATCTTTTTGTTTGATTCGGGCCCTCAACTGATTTGATGAGGCCCACCCACTTAGAGAGGGCAATCTGCTTTACTCAGCCTACTGATTCAAATGTTAATATCACAAAAACATCCTCACAGACACATCCAGAATAATATTTGACCAAATATCGAGGCACCTCATGGCACAGTTGACACATAAAATTAACCATAACATCTATTATGTCACCAGTAGGCTTAATAATTATCTCATTTAATTGCCACAAAGACCCATGTGGAAAGTAGACTTATTCCCATTTGCTTAATAGATGTTCATTCAACAAATGTTTGTACATTTTAGAGATGAGGAAACTGAGGTTCAGATAGTTGAAGTAACTTGTCTAAGATGGCATAGCAAGTAAATGGCAGAGCCAGGATTCTAACTTAGCTCTAAATGACTTCATCTGGTACTCAACCTGCGTGGTCACTGCCTCCCAGCACTGGTGCTGCATTCCCCACAGGTCCTGAGGCTGCCCCTTTGGGTAGGACAGGTCTGAAGGCATTAGCTGTTTGTCGGTCAAAACTCAGGGGCAGCAGTGGGGAGGACGGCTCATTTTCGTCTTCACGTCTGAATGTGTTGGACTTGAGTGCAACTTGGAGCTACTAGAAGGGGTCTGCTTTCCTTTGCCTTTGAGGTAATTCACAGAACATTAATAGTTGCTATTCTTTATTGAAAGCTACATGCTTGTGCTTTGCATGGATAATATCACTTAATGTTCACAATGACCCTGTGTTCTTCCCACCACCCTACTCTGCCGTGGGAGGGTGAGGATCACAGGGTCACCATGGGCTGCCAAGGGTGGGGACAGTGAGACATCTCTCTTAAACAACTGTCCTCAGAGCCACCAAGAGTGCCCTACATTGCCTTAAATGTCCCCGTGGACCAGTCCAATCCTGTTCCACCCCTCCCCAAAATATGCCCATAAAAACAGCCTAAAATGTGTGTGAATCAATAATTCTGCAGGTGTGTGCTGTCTGCTGATTCACCCATGGAACAGGCCTGGGCTTTCCCTTCGCTTGGTTTGCTCCTCATGGCCTGACATGTTGGTGCTCCTCACTTTCCGTCTCCACTGGCACTTTCAGGAAACGTCGTCCAGTGGCAAAGTTACTGTAAGCCCCTAAATCACTCTCATTTGAAGGAGACTCCTCTGTCCCCTCTCCCTGCAGCACTCCCTGGGCTGCTCCCGAGGAGTCCCCTTTGTCGTGACAACATAAGCAGTCATTACAGTGTTGCTGAGTCACCTTCGGCCACAGCAAACCTCTTGTCTTTGAGAGGAGGAATCCAAGATTCACAAGGGCATGTGTCTTACCCAAGCTCATGGTTAGAAGCCAACTCCTCCGTTTTCCAGTCCAGTGCTTCTGGTACACCCCATAGACATCAGTTCTGAGGGGGTGGGGGCAGGGCAGCTCCCCAGTCTGACTCAGTGGATGCAGGCTGAACAGCAGCATCTCTCAAAGGCGGCATTTGAGGAGCAGCCGTGCAGGCTGCACCAGATGACTAGGGAAGTCGGCACATCCTTTCACACGTCTGCCTCCATGTCCAACGATGTACGATGATGTAGATGCAGCACAACAAAGCAAGGTACTGTTAGAGAAACTTGGATAGGGTGGTCCTTTTTTACGAACAGAAGCAGATTCCCTTTGGTCTGCATGCTTCACTGGAAGGCCCAGGAAAGAGCTGAGATTCCTATCTGTCTGAAATTGCAGCAAGTGACTCTCTACGGCCCCTATTCCCAATGGAAGTGACTTTGGCTTGTATCATGTGTTTAGGGAAAATCAGCTCGTCTGTAAGTCCATGTGGATCTACCCAGTGGATTCTCCATGGCACCTTGTAGGCCAAAAAGGATGCATCTGGGCTCCGTGGGATGATGTTTCTAGATCAGATCCCTGGTCTGGCTCCCTCTCTCTCATTGCTGGTGTTGTTTCCAGAGCCTGCGAACCAGACGACAGGAGCTGAGGGCAAACAGGATTGTTTTAGCCAAGGCTGTGAGAACACTCTATCAGATAAACACTTTTACACAAGGAAACAATCATTGGTGGTAACCACTCTCAGAAGAAAGGAAAATAAAACTGCTTATTGCTTTCAAGACCATTCTACTTTTTAATTTTTTTAACATAAAGGGTAAATGAATTTCAGATGCCTTGAGAGCAATAGAGCCATTGTTGAGAAGGCAGCACACTCTAGAGGTGGATAAAGAATTTGGAAGGTGCCCAGAGACATGGGTGCTCATCCAGGCTGCCAAGGACTCGCTGGTGCCCTTACAAAATCATCTACTTCACTGCTTGACCCAGGATTCTTGGGACTGGGAGACCTGTGTTCCTACCCAGGCTCTATTAATAACTGTCTGATGTTGATATGAAACTCCGTTTCTTGATTTGTAAAATGGGAATCATAACATTTGCCCTGCCTACCTGTCCCGGTTGTTGTGTAGGTCAAATGAACCTATGTGGAAATACTTTGTTAAAAATAGAGTACTCTCTCTATTTTCTTTCCTGTGATGTAGGACATAAAGTCTTTCGCTGGAAGTGAGGTAGGAGATTGGAGGAGACTGGTGGAGAATGGTAAAAGAACTAGGGTCCCCCTGGACACACAGAAGTGTGTGGGGCAGGGTTGCAGCTGGGATTGGAGACCATGGGTCTGTTGTGGCAACATTCACCTCACCACTGGGTGTACGATTGAATGTTGGCTGGCGTGGTGGAAGGAATGAGGTGTACTGACAAAGGAATAGTTACAATGGTGATGCCAGAGTCTAAGCTGAAGAGGGAAAGGGTTGAAGAAAGGGACATGGCTGATGATTCGGGGAGCTGGGAAGTGTCAGTGAGATGCGAATGCCATGTGCACAGGGGAGTTAGCTGGCAAGACAGGCAACAGTGGGCAGAGAGTGCAAGGCTGGAATTCAAGGTTTGAGAGCTGGAGGACATCCAGGTAACCAAGTAGGGCAAGGAGCTGTGAGGAAGAGGATGCTGGCTGTGAGGAAGAGGACCACATGGGAGCTAAAGAGCCCAGGTCAGTGACAGGACTTGGGGTAGGAAGAGTGAGAGTTAAGTGCCAGGGTCCTGAGAGAAGATGGGTAAGTTTTCAGACCTGGGGATGGCCATGGTGACAACAGGGAACCTGTGGATGGTAGGGACATTAAAGGTGGGGGTGGGCAAAGCATCTGGAAGGACTGGGAGAATGCTGATGCTACTTCAGGGTAAGAGAGGCCCAGAAAACAGAACGGCCTGGAGGCATGCTCAGATTTAAAATTTGATATGAATTATATACAAATTGGTCATTTTACATACAGATAATCATAAGTTGTAGAGGCATCTTGGCCTCAATACGCAAATATATAAAACAAATTACGATGGATAGCTCCTTTCAGCTATTGACATTTTTATTAATATGATAGGCCCAATGGCAGGCTGGAGGCAGCTGATACCAGTGGATGAGGGCCACATATTGTTAAATTTTCTGGAATTTTGCAAGCTAGGTGTCATGTTGGTAACTTGAAATAGACCTGAGAGGGAAAAGTTAAACACCATGGAAATCTACAAACTAGGACTTTTTCTCCCCTGGAAATCTAGTTATTAAACATTTCCCAGCACACTACTGAATAGGCCTAAATATAACCTCCAAATCTGCCCAACTTTACAGTCCTGTTGTTGTGGGTTTACTTGTGTCACTAAAAGAGATTTGTCCTAACTCCTGGTACCTGTGAATGTAACCTTATTTGGAAGTAAGGTCTTTGCTGATGTAATTAAGATGTAAGTTAAGATGAGGTCGTACTAGAGTAGGGGGCGCCCTTAATCCAATACGACTGGTGTCTTTATAAGAAGAGGAGACACAGAAACAGACGCACACAGAGAGGAGAACACCATGTGAAGACACAGACACAGGGGAGATTGCCATGGCAATGGAGGCAGAGACTAAAGGATGCCAAGGGTTGCCAGCAACACTAGAAGCTAAAAGGAAGTCGTGAAACAGACTGTCCCTCAGAGCCACCAGAAGGAACCAACCCTGCTGACACCTTGATTTCAGACTTCTAGCCTCCAGAACTGTGAAAAAATACACTTCTGTTGTTTTCAGTCACCCAGTTTGTCCTCCCTTGTCACAGCAGTGTTAGGAAACTGATACGCCCATCATGCTGTCTAGTGGAAGTTCCCAATGTGAACCTCGAAGGGAAGGTCCCTGTTTCCTGTGCTCTGGCTCCCAGGGGGAACCTTTCCACCTACCTCCTCCAGCATGGGTTTTCTGTACCATCATCTGTTCCTTCTTGCTGGCTGCCTTGTATTGTGGATTATGGTTTTAAGTGTAGACATGTTGCCTCCTCTTCTAGGTGGTAACCAGAGGTTGTGAACTCAGATGCCTCATGGGTCAAAGTTGCTGAGTGTGACTCTGGGGGAACCATTTCAGACTGGAATGTGTGTTCGCCTTTAAATAAAACACTTACCCCACCCTGTTGGCCAAGGAAAACCTGACTAAGACCTGTCATTTTGGGACCTCTGCAATGTGCCCGAGAGGAGGGAACATTTCTTGGCCTTTGCCTCCCCGCCAGCAGCAGCCAGCAGGCATTTGTTCACTTTTTGTGAATTGGCTACCTGGATCTCTCAGGTCTTCTGTCCTGGCCCAGCCAACAAGTGGTTGGGTCTGAGACCTCAGAAGTTTAACAGTTGCCTCAAAGTTTCTCCCTTCAGACAGAAGCTTCAAAAACAGATTTTTGTAAGGTTATAATGTAGATCCCCAACTAACTAGCTACTCAACATGATTGCAAAACTTCAGCTTCAGAAGAATGCAACAAAAGGGCGGTGTCCCCTCCAGACGTGGCTTACCCCACCCTGATGTTTCTGCGTGTGTTTTTCTTGGCAATTCTCCTCAGGTGGCTGGGGGATAGGCGTCAGGGATACTGAAAATCAAGGGTGATTTGGTGTGAGGAGTATTTTGAAGTTGAAACTACTGTTTACAGTTCATTTCTTTTTGAACACCAGAGGGCGATACAGTCATATTGAATAGCAGGTGCACCTTCCTTTAAGACTCAAATCCTGGGAACCAATAAATTAAAAAAAATTTTTTTTCTGAACAAATGCTGAGTTGGGGGACTGCAGAGGTCCCAACAGTTATTACCCCAACAGTAGTGAGGCTCTGGTGACAGTGGCCAGCTGACCAGTCTGTGTGTCTATGGTCTTGGCCAGCTCCTGTTAACGCCCTCTGGGAGTGAGGACTGTCTGGCAGAATGTTCATGGTTTCTGGAGAAATTCTGAAAACTCTGTACAGCTCATGGAAGAGTCTGGAAGAAGCAGGAGTAGAGCAGTTGGGTATGCCTATGGGAGGCTAGAGAGTGATGGTGAAGGCCCTGGGAAGGGGCAACTGGGCTGACATCCAGGAGAGGGCTCAGCTTTAGAGCTCCAAGGCCTGTGAGGAGAGCCCTTGTTGGACAGGTACCTGCCTAGGTGTGGGCAGCAGGAGACACCACAGCACCAGAGCCCATCTAATCTTGCATGTCTGGACCCCACAGTTGTATGTGTACAGTTGTGGAAGAATCTGTACCTGATTACACAACCAATTCAGAAAGGGGTCTGTCCACCTTGTCAAATTAATAAACAGAAAACTCATTAAATTGGAATCAAAATTCTCACACCCTATGTCTATAGCAGAGCCCAACAGGAACAAGAAAGACTTCCTCTTCTTGACTGGGAAGATGCTCAGCCAATGAGAGACTGTCACAACTCAGCCAATGAAAAGCCACTACACATTGAACTCTCAATTCTTCCAATGGACTCTTTGTTTATAATAGCCCACTCATCTTCCTCTTCTCCTCTATAAAAGAGTTTCTCCTCCCTTGCTGCTGGGGGACTTGCTCATGGCTGGCCATGGTTGCAGACCCCGAATTGAAATTCTTTGCTGATCCCAAATAAACCCATTTTCGCTGGAGAAATAACTGACTGTCTATTTGTTTTTTGTTTTTGTTTTTTGCAAAGAATATTAGCCTTGAGCTAACATTTGTTGCCAATCCTCTTTTTGCTGAGGAATATAGGCCCTGGGCTAACATCCATGCCCATCTTCCTTTACTTTATATGGGACACTGCCACAGCATGGCTTGATAAGTGGTGTGTCAGTCTGTGCCCAGATCCAAAACTGCGAACCCCAGGCCACCAAAGCGGAGCGTCCGAACTTAACCGCTACCCTACTGGGCCAGCCCCTGGCTGTCTATTTCTTCACCCCTGGGAGAGGCAGCTCAGCTTTAGCCATATAGTTCTGGGTAACTTCCAATGGCACTCGGCAGAGACCAAGACTGTTCTTAGCAAAGGTATGTTGTCAGTAGCAGAGCACCACTTACTATGCAAGATAGAAGAAGGCCTTGCAGAGCAAAAGTTGTGCTAATGGGTTGATTACAATTTAGTGGGCCTCAGCTGTTCATTGGAAAGAGAAAACTTTGACAAAATGAGAGGAGAGTGTATATCTATAATAGAGTGCACAAGGTCATTGCCATTATCCTGATGAGAAAATAGAAGTGTACCACTGACAAGATCCACTGTGGACACTAGAATTGGTGCAAGGCCATGATACCTGCTTGGTGAGGTGGGCCCAGAAGGCAGGCAGAGGACTGCTCTGCTTACCAGGCCCATCACCATTGTGGGGACTGTCTGGTCATGTACAGTAATAAGAAAGGATTCTCGTTGTCATTTACAATTTTATTGCTCAATTCAGCCTTTTTATTTAATAAGGATATAGAAGAACAAAATTTTGAAGCACAGCACTTAGATTGGACTCCAGTTCCAGCTTTTTGCCACTCATTATTGATGTTCATGTTTGGGGGAAGTCACATGACCACACTTAGCCAGCTCTCTCTCTCTCAAAATGGGCACTGAGTATCAAATAATGTATATGACATGTGAAAATGATACTGAACCTCTTAATCTCAAATTCGTGTTCCTGATGTGCAATAAGGCAATTACTGAGACACCAGTGCCTGGAGATGGAGAAAGGTCTTTTTGAATTGTCCAAAATGATACGGTGCGAGGATAGGTTCTCTCAAATCCACCTTCACAAAAGAAGAAAGCAGGGGATTTTATAGAGCTAAGGGGCTTGGGAGGAGGAGTTTTGGAGAAACAAAGGGGAAATCTGTTTCTTTCACTCCAGATAAGACTTTGGGCACTCAGACTTCTGGGCACCAATGGCAGCTGGGGACTGGTTATCTGGTGATTATAACTTCCTTGAAGGCATTCTTGCTCTTCTGCAAAACAAGCTCATAAATCCTTGTGACCCTTGAGTCACCCCTCAGGTTAAACAAGAAAACAGCAAATTAACAAGATTGAATATTGAATATTTAGAGTAACCCTCAGGTACCCAGTTTCAAAAACACTTAAGAAATTATCAAATGTGATATAAGTGCAGTTGCTAATCTCTAGAGGGAATCTTTAGCATTTCCTTCTCTTTTAAATATATGTCTGTTACCTGGGCTGGGTGAGGCTTCATTTGAAAGGGGGCTTAATTAGAGTTAAAGATATCTCTTTCGGCCAGTCCTGTTAAACTACCACTTAATGCCAAACAAATGGGAATGAAAACTATTTTGGTTTCTGTGTACTCCGTTGGTTTTGTAGGCTGCTTAGCCATATTCATGACGATTTGCAGAACAATCACTGTTTGTATTGGAAACCCTATTGAAAAGGACTTTTGCCCCGAGCAAAAGTTTTTATCTTCCATCTTTTTTTAGCTAACTAACATAAGAGACATCTTGGGCTAATGTGAACAGGGAAAACTATTGGCAAAATCAAGAATAAAGGTTCTGTTTACAGACGTTTTGCCAAATAAACAGTTCTATTGGACCTGAAGCCTCCTTGGTTTATTACAGCAATTGCTTACTGTAAGGAAGAGACAAAGTGTTTAAATTTCACACCTGTGAAATACATATTACATTTCCTAGCAGGGGATAAGACTCAGTCAATAATTTTTCGGTGACGTAGGTCTCAGATTCAGAGCTTTATTTAATCAAATAGATATTGTCCTTGATACTGAATTACAAGTTGGATCTCATTAATGAATGTGCTTATTGGTAGTTCTTTGTTTAAAGCCATTTCTCCAATTTTTTTCTTGAGCTTTAATACATATACCATCCGGCTCAGTCACAGATAGGTAAGTAAGGGAATATAAGGCAGTAGTGCCCTGGAATTAGACTGTAAAGTCCTGAAGCAAAGCTTTGTAGTAAGTTAGAGGTTGGGCAATGGAATCAGTCAGCCTGGTTTCAAAGCCTGGGTCCACTGCTTACAGGCTGGTGACCTTGAGCAACTCATTTCACCTCTCCAATCTTATATTCCTCTGTAAAATAAGGATATGAAAGTACCCACCCTATAGTTTTCTAGGATTTCAATGTAAGCTAGGTAACGTGTTAGTTACTACCAACATCATCACCATCATCACCACCTCTGAGTCCCTCACAGCCCCCAACATGGTGCCTTGCACTCTATGATGATAGGGGAACAATTTCCATTGGTTGTATACTCATTCTACCTACTGATGAATTATAGATTTGGGATGAAATCTGCCAGGACTGCACATTCAAATTCTTAAAGCGCTTCCAGTGTACTCTGTTCTGATTTTGGGAGGTAGGGAGAGAGTAACCTCTTAAAATTGCCCAAACCCCAACCCTAGAAAATAATTGTTAGATCTGTGTTTATAAAAAGTTCTAGTATAATTCTTGGCGCATTGTAGTAGACATTTGATAAAAGGTCTGAGAGATAAAAAGGGTTCATATTTTATTATTGTTTTACAGAGAAGACATAGGCTTAAAGGGACTTGCCCAAAGTCTAAGAAACAGGAGTGTTGTTTTTGGATATTCCTTCCTGAGTTAAATTATGCAAAGCCAAATTTTATTTTGTGTTTAATCACACAAATGCCAGTATCTTCAGTAAATGTTTTCTTAGGAAATCCAAGCAATGGAAAATTCTTCCAGAAGGCTGCTTGGTCCCAGGTGTTTTCCATGTTACTTAACTGAAGAGTCTCTGCCCGTCAGATCTGGTGAACAGGGAAGTGGTGAACAGTGTCTCTCAGCCCAGGCAGTTGTTTAGAACCACCCAGAGCCCTAAAAGTGCCTAAGCCTGGCCTCACTCTGAGAGATTCTGCTTTGGGATAATCTGGGTAGGGCCTAGGCTTCAGAATTCTTAAAATCTCTCCAAGTGATTCTAGAGAGAGTTTCCATCTAGTTCTTCCTCGCTAGCCTTCCAGGATTCTATGCTTTCTACATATTCACAGACTTAGGCATATTAAAATTCCATCCCCTTTGTAACTTCTCTTTATTTATTTATTTATTTTTTTGTGAGGAAGATCAGCCCTGAGCTAACACCTGCCAATCCTCCTCTTTTTTTGCTGAGGAAGACTGGCCCTGGGCTAAGATCCGTGCCCATCTTCCTCCACTTTATATGGGACGCTGCCACAGCATGGCTTGCCAAGCAGTGCATCGGTGCACGCCCGGGATCCGAACTGGGAAACCCCGGGCCACCGCAGCGGAGAGCACGCACTTAACCAATTGCGCCACTGGGCTGGCCCCTGTAACTTCTCTGTAAAAGGGACATTTTTTAACTTTAGAAAATTATGAAACATAATAGGAATTAACTAATTTGCTCTTCTGAAATGTATGAACACTTGATTTCATAAGCCAGGATTGTTCTGATTGCTCTGTCTGAGATACCACTGGCCTGGTAGCCAACAGCCTCTTCATTTTACACAATCAAAGCAATCACCTGTCTTTTTCTTTTCTAAATTCACTTAACAGAATGAAGCTTGCCCAGATGACTTTTTCCCTTTGAAATTTACAAAGTGGTGGCCTGAATTCCACATATTGTAATAATAATAACATAAACAATGTAGGGTAGGGAGGTAATAAAATTAGTAACAACGATAGCAATAATAATACCTTTGTTCATCATGTTGGGCTCTTTAGATAAGGATTTATTTGTTGGGGCTGTGTGCCCTTGCACACTGCATGTTCAAAATGAGTGGTGTTTACACCTCTCATTTGAATGAAATTTGAACGAAAGATCATGTACTCTAATTTTGATGATTGTTAGATTATTTTGGTTGAATATTCAAATTCATCTGGTACCTACTGCAGATTCTGTGCTGATGTACTAGTCATTTCCTATAATAACCTTAAGCCTACACGGTAATTGAGAGAAGGATATAAAAGATCTAGGAACACCTAAAGGAATGGCGAAGACCCCATAAATAGAATAAACAAGGAAAATTAGCATGTAAACACCCCCCCCGACACACACACACGGTTCTGTCTCCAATTTTCTACCTCACAGGCCACTGCGGTTCAATCTTCTAAGCTCTCCTCTTCAAACTTGAATGATTCAATCGGCAATGCTTTTACAATACATTCAGTGAATTTTTCATCAGGGTATTATTTATGTGCTTGCCATGAGTTATTTCCTTTTAGAAACATCAGTTGAAACTCACAACTTCTAGAAAGCCTCACCTGGTTAAGTGGAATATGATCCCATTAATCTCTGGCTATATCTTTAGATGATATATCAGAAGCCATATAGGTACAGGCATGTGCTGACATCCTATGTATAAGAGCACATGTCAGCGTGTCTTTTTTATTTCTCCAATTTAAGCGCCCAGAGCCATTGAACACGTTCTTCCACCTGCCTAGAATATATTTTGCTTCTACGAGCAACCCCTTCATCTAGGTCTTTTCAGATCTCTGCTCAGTTATTTTAGTTCGGGGAAACTTTCTCTGATCTCCCTCTGTCCCACTGATTTACATGGTCTTGTAACATCTCTCCAAAGCCTCACATTTATACTTATTTGAGTGATCATTTAGCTACTCTCTCTCTTTCTTGGGAGGTTGTAACTCTGTGACCCACAAACCCATAGTCTGTGTTTGGTTTTGTTTACCAGTATATCCTAATATTTACCCGGTGCCTGGATCCAGTAGGGGACTAATTGTTGAACGACTAGATGAATAGGAAACTGTGTTTTCTCTTTGAAATGCAGCTACAGTTCTACTTCACCCAAGAATTCTGCCATACTTAAAAAATTTTAAAACTCATGGTTTAGTCAATATTTTAAAAAAATCAAAAAATATTTAAGAAAGATGTTAATTGTACAAAAATAATGGATTTTTACTAAAAATATTTATTAAACTGATTTGAAACAAACTATAATTCTTTTTAAAAGTCACTCGTAATCTTGGGATATTAATATAGCAACTATTTTCATTTCACCAATGGACATTGTCCTTAAGCTGAAGTGATGCTGGAACTTAGTACTTAGCTCTAAATGTCTTTAGTTTCCTCCCCACCCCCTATTTCTCTGCATGATGATGGGCTGCTTGCTAAGCTCTGGCAAGAAGTCAGGATCTATGAGAAACAGCCTTTTATTCCTTTGTATCTAAAAAAACCAATGCCATCTAGAGGCGAGAGTGCTCTGAAAAGTTCACACAAAACAGCCGTAAGCTTTGCTACCTGTCATGCTAAGCAGCACACTTCAACTCCGCCTTCAGCCTCAGGAGCCAGACCCCACTGTGCCAAATTCAGGAGTAACACCTGTCTCATTTAAGGCTTCTTCAGTCTGTAGGATCTTACTCGAAATCATAAGAACTATTCTCTCATGTGACCTTTTATTTTATATGAGAGTTTGGGCATTGTTTCAACAAGAGATCTCTTAATTCTTAAAACCACCTCAGTCACCACTGTGACTCAGTGCCTCTTGACTAAAATTAAGGTAAAATGTACAGATATGAAAATAGTTGGATTAACATAATAAGCAATTACAGTTTCCCCCTTATTAATGTTACATAGTCTTTCCAGCAATTTTAAAGCAATTGATTAGTACTAGCCTTAGAACAAGAAGAAAATAAAATTTAAAAGAACCCACTTTGACACTGAATAGCCAAAGCAAGCTTGAGAAAGAAGAACAAAGCTGGAGGCATCACACTCCCTGATTTTAAACTATATTACAAAGCTATAGTAATCAAAACAGTGTGGTATTGGCCTAAAAGCAGACACACAGATCAGTGGAATAGAGTAGAAAGCCCAGAAATAAACCCACACATCTATGTTAATTAATTTACGAGAAAGAAGCCAAAAATATACAATAGGGAAAAGACAGTCTCTTCAATAAATGGCATTGGGAAAACTGGACAGCCACATGCAAAAGAATGAACTTGGACCTCCATCTTACACCGTAAGTGAAAATCAACTCAAAATGGATTAAAGATTTGAACATAAGACCTGAAACTGTAAAACTCCTAGAAGAAAATATAGGCAGTAAGCTCCTTGACATCCATCTTGGCTATGATATTTTGGATTTAACACCAAAAGCAAAGGCAACTAAAGCAAAAATAAAGTGAGACTACATCAAACTAAAAAGCTTCTGCACAGCAAAGAAAACCATCAACAAAATGAAAAGGCAACCTACCAAATGGGAGAAAATATTTGCAAATCATATATCTGATAAAGGGTTAATATCCAAAATATAAAAAGAACTTATACAACTCAATAGCAAAAATTCTCCAAACAATATGCTTAAAAAATGGGCAGATCTGAATAGACATTTTTCCGAAGAAGATATATAATGGCCAACAGGTACATGAAAAGGTGCTCAACATCGCTGATCATTAGGGAAATGCAAATCAAAACCACAATGAGATATGACCTCATACCTGTGAGAATGGCTATTATCAAAAAGACAAGAAACAAGTGTTGGTGAGGATGTGGAAAAAAGGGAACCCTTTGTCTACTGATGGTGGGAATGTAAATTGGTGCAGCCACTATGGGAAACAGTGTGGAGGTTCCTTAAAAAAATAAAAATAGAAATACCATATGATTCAGCAATTCCACTTCCGATATTTATCCAAAGAAAATGAAAACATTAACTCAAAAAGATATCTGCATCACCATGTTCATTGCAGCATTCTTTACAATAGCTAAGATATGGAAACAACCTAATTGTCCACCAGTGGATGAAAGGATAAAACAAATGGGGTATATATATACAACGGAACATCATTCAGCCGTAAAAAAGAAGGAAATCTTGCCATTTATGACAACATGGGATGGACCTTGAAGGCATTATGCTATGTGAAATAAATCAGACAAAGACAAATACCATATAATCTCACTTATATGCAGAATTTAAAAAAAACCTGAACTCATAGATACAGAGAACAGATTGGTGGTTGCCAGAGCAGGGAGTAGGGGCTGGATGAAGGTGGTAAAAAGGTACAAACTTTCAGTTTTAAAATAAATAAGTCCTGGAGATGTAATGTACAGCATGGTGAATATAGTTAATAATACTGTATTGCATATTTGAATGTTGCTAAGAAAGTAGATCTTAAAAGTTCTCATCACAGGAAAAGAATTTTGAAACTATATACAGCGATGGATGTTAACTAGATTTATTGTGGTGATCATTTAGCAGTATATACAAATATCAAATCATTGTATTGTACACCTGAAACTAATATAATGTTATATGTCAATTATATCTCAATTAAAAAAAATAAAATAACCCAGTTTGCGTGTCAGAGATTAGTATATTTTCTTAATTGAAAGTTCTGGTGGAAATGTGGAGGCAGTTCCATAGTAGTGTTTGGTTGAGCCAAGCACTAGTTGACTAACGATCAAATTAGATGTAGCGTGTATTTGGGTATCACTGGATGCTTTGTAATGGCAACCTTTATGGTCATGCATGTTTTATTCTTTCTTTGTTATGTTTTCCAGAGGGATAACCAATTGGCTGATAGAGTAACAAATGAAAAGTAACTTGAATCCACTGACCCGCTTAACCCTGCATGTGAACAATGGAAAGGAGTAGCCGTTCACTTTGAAACAGTGGAACAGGTATGAAACAGCTCATTTTGTTGTTGCCTTCTTTTATTGCTTTGCACACCTATTTCCAGACCAGTTGAAAACAGCAAGTTGTTCCTGTCTGAGAACACAGAATCGGAGGTACAGAACAGGTAGTGTGGGTTCTTTGTAACATTTGAGAGTTGCCCCCATCTTCGGGTTGCTCTTTATAAAAGTACTAGGGCAATTGAGAGACAATTGTTTTTCAATAGCAAATAAGTAATCGTGCTAGGGACAATTATTACTTTAAAACATAGGCTTAGCATTTTGGATGTATGTTTAGCTTTAAGATACAATGCTATTTGAATAAAGAGATTTTGCTCCAATAAATAGATTTCTACTAAGGAATTACAGAAGTAATAACAAAATAGTAAAGCATGTTACTGGTTTCCCCAACCACAGCCATCTAAAGTGTTTTTGCTGTGTTTAATGATATAATCTCGCCTGTCCACATTCATTTTCTCAGCCATGAAGGGACCCTGCCAAGAAAGGCATAGTTTGATTTATTCCATTTTTCAGAATTCATGTAAATAGATAAAGGTGAAGCTTCTTTTGCTTTGAAAGGAACATTTCACGTCAACGTGAAAAATTTAGAAGAGCATTTGTACGACTCCTGGTATTAGAACCTTTAAAATACATGTTTATTTTGAATCAGATGCCCATCATTGGAGTGCTGAACCTTCTGTCAATTACATCTATTTTCAAGAGACAGGTGAGCCTATGTGGTTTGGTAGTGACTGTAAATGGTCAATGCTTTAAGAAATTATGATATTAATGGGTTGTAATGCAGCTAGAAAGTAATTTAAGTTCAAAAGATTAAGTATCATGTAGTAGATGATCAAAATAAAATTACTTAACTTTGCATGACATTTTTTTCTCCATTTAATGGCTTATAGATGAGGGACTATGAATAAATAATAAAGACTTGAATTTTGCACAGGAATATTAGAATTCAAAAGTCTACTGGAAAAGAACTCATAAAAATTATATTTTATAAAAAGAATTAAATTAGGGTATAGCTCCATTATTTAAGATTATTTAAGGCGAGTTTTTAGGGGATGTTTTGACTATTACTCTGTAATTAGTATGTTCTCAGGGCATAATTTTATTTTTACACATTAAAACAACTAAAGGTTTCAATGTATTACTCTATTGAATTTGAAACTAAATGTCATCTACATCAATAATATATGAAGAGTCTGGTTTCTAGCTTAGCAAGGAGACAGAAAAAGTAGCAGGTTATTGCTACTTCATGCACAGAGAGCAAGCATGCAGTCCTTTGCTTCCTTTATGTTTCAGTTTGTAGAGTCAGTCAACTACTAACCACATTGACCAACTATTGATGAACTATCTTTCTCTTGTGTTCCAATACTGATGTAAATTGTAAATGGGCTTTTTTTTTTTTTTTTTAGTACCTTGATTAAGAGATGTTATCTGTCTGAAAGAAAATCTTTTGGGAATAGGGCAAAGACGGTGAACTAGGTAATAATTTCCAAACTCTCTATAACAACCCATTCTGAATATTGTTAATCCACACAATAAAGCAAGTCAGCTACCAGATTTCACTTAGCTGGAATAGATTACAGTGTGGTTAGATTTCTAAATGAAGAGATGATTTGAAAAAATACATAAACCAAAGGAATAGCCAGTTACCATGTCTACTTGGATGTGAGTTTCTATGTATGAAACTGTTTGAGAGATGGAACCTGCCTTCCTTTTTTTCACTGGGAAGAGGAGTGTGTAGAAGGATGGTCATGGGACAGGGAATGATGAATCCTAGGCTGTTTCCAGGATTATTCTCTGGAAGAACTATTCTCTCCAACTGACCCCGTCTCTCTTGTTCCACACCTGGGATAACTTAGAAGGAGGCAGCCTTGGGAAAAAAAAGTCCCAATCAAAAAGTCAAAATGCCATTGTGAAATGCCCCCCTCTTTCAGCCCCCAAATTCAGAAGTCCTCTTTCATGTTGATATATGCAAATAGATGACCAAGAGAGTCACTGGCCACCAAGTCCACGCAGATCCAAGATTAGGCTTAGATATGAGGGTTGTAATAGGAATATGTACCAAGCTCTACAGAAAAACGGGTGGTAGTATTGTTATCAGCTCAGACTTCATCCTCTCTGTGAAGTTCTCCCCAACATTCCCATCCAAATTAACCACTTGTTTTTTGTTTAGTTACCCATCAAACATTTATTGTGTACCTAATATGAGCCAGGTACAATGCTAGGCCTCTGGTGGCACAAAGCAGAGTCCTTGTCCTCCAGAAGATTCCTTCTTTTTCTTTTCTGCCTCTATACCCAGTACTTGTTTAAGCTCTGAACACTAGTTTCATTATTGGCTTACAGTTTTGTATCCCATATTAGTCTCCAACTTCCCTAAAGACTTGGCCTGCATTGCAGGCTTTGAATAAATAACTCAATTGTCTGCTGTGGGTGTTATCATCATCTTTTTAGCAGATTATCTTCAGTAAACTATACATCTTTTTCCTAGATTAGTGACAGCAAGACCCAAGTAGGAAGGAACCAAAGCTGGTCATGGAGCATGATGCTCACAACTGTGGAAATTGTGCATGTCTGCGCCTTGTTAAAATTGACTTCAGGACTATCTGTTGATTTATGGGAGAGCCATGATATCTCTCTTATTTCACGAGATAATGAAGAGTGAATACATTTTTCCCTCTCAAATTGAAACTGTTTCTTTTGAATGCTAAATATACAGAAAAATAGGTAAAGCAGAGATAATGATTTGCCATACTTTTATTTCTTCTTAGTTCTCTTGAACAGCTCTCCACAAACTTTCTTAACCAAAGTGTCTTGACCCAGATTTATCACTGCTCCCTTTATCCGTACTAGTAATATCTACATAATATGTCTGAATCTGTTTGGTTTGAATATCTCAGAATATCATTGTTATTTCCCTGAAATATTCATTCCCAAGTACCTGGAAGCCACATTCAGTTTAAGGAAGAGTAGGTACAGTGATTTAAGAGAAATCCACGATGGATTAGCCTGGTTTGGAGGTGCTCAGTGAACCACTACTGATGTTTAATTGAGAGAGTACATGATGCTAAGGAATCTTGTTGACAGTGATCAAAATCTAGCTAAAACATGCTCAAAAGAAAAGAATGTGTGTAAATTTGTGTATGGGGAGGAATTTTATTGGCTCAATCCAAGGAAGGGTTGATTGACAAACTGTGAGAGGGGAAGAGTTGCAAGCACACCCAGAAACAACTGGAACCAGGAGGCTGAACCCCACTGGGGTTCTCTCTCCCTCTCCTGCTGCTGCTCCTCTTCTGTGGGTTAGTTTCAATCTCTCATTTCAGGCCAGCCAACAATACTCAAATTTTAGATTTTACAGGTTTCACCATCTGAGACATTGTATGCATAACCTTCATGGCTATTTCCCCCCCTTTGGTTTTGCAGCTTGAGAAAATGGCGTGTAACATACCTAACCAAAGACAGCGGACTATGTCGACATGTGGAGAAGCTCTATATGAAATTCTTGGTCTGCAGAAGGGAGCGTCAAATGAAGAAATTAGGAAAACCTACAGGTACAGAGGAAGCTCAGTGATGACATTTTCTGTACTACTAGTGATAGTTATTTTGTGATTGGCCTCCAATTAAAGACATAAGCTTCCTGCTAAGATCAGATAATCGGAGTTTTGGAACTTGTGGTCCCTGTTCTACAATATCAGCAGTTAGGAATAGACAGGCATGATATTGATTTTATGAAAGAACTCTCTGATGATGCTGGGCCTTAGGAAAAGGGCAGCCTGTGGTCTAAGCCTGCAGTGTCAGAGAGAGAGAGAAAGAGAGAGATCACTGTGAATAACCAGGAGTTGTGATTTAACCCATATGATATAGCATCACCAAATCTCGTAGAGAGATTTTTAAAAAAAATAAACGGGGGCTTGTCACAATTGCTGTATTGTATGTTATACTTTTTAAGTCTTTAGTTTTGAGCTTTCATATCTGATCTAGTTCCAAGATAGCTATTTTCAGGAAAAATTTAAATACCCTTTTCTTTAAAGCTCCAAGGAATCTTTTTTTAAAAGGATCAAGTATAAAAATAATTTATTTATTGTAGAAAATTTGGAAATTACTAAAAATGAGGACAAGAACATTTATCCGTAATTCTACCTCTAGTGATAATTACCACTGATATTTTTTCTTCTATTTTTTTTGTCTAGATTAAACATTTTAAAATAAAATTGGATACATCTATATTCTCTACCTTTCTTTTTAACAAGGTCCTATCATGAAAATATCTCGGTGTTAAATATTCGGATTTTTAATGCCTCTAGCCTATGGCTATTCTGTAATTTAATTACTTTATGAGCCATTTTTTAACATGTAAGTTCTTTTAATTATTCCCTATACTTAATAACTTTGTGTGTAAATCATGAGGCATATTTCTACTTATTTCCTTATTTTTTGAGGAGTAAAGAGGAAAATGAATCAAAATATAGATGAAAGGTTCAGATTTTAATCAGTCACTTCTTGATTTGGCCTTGAATTCGATTTTTAAAACTTATGGTTTTTTGTGGGGTTTTTTTATGTAAGTTTAGAATGTTTAAGTAGGCAAATTTGATAGTCATTTCCTTTATGGCTTTTGTTTTATCTGTCATGGTTTAAAAGCCTCTCCTGATAACAATATTATAAAAATATTAACCCATGTCTTCTTTTGGTACATTTATGATTTTGCTTTTATAGTAAATCTTCGATCTATTTGGAGTTACTTTGATATGAGGAGTGAAAGGAGGATTCCAGATTTATTTTTTCTCAAATCACTAACCCATCAAAATTTACTGAATTCTCCATTTTTACCTACCCATACAAAATTTTTTGGCTTCAGACTAGAACCCTCATCATGTAATAAACTGTGGGACCTAAAATGCCTTCAAGAAGCATGTGTGGAAGAATAAAGGACAGTGGTGAAATTGTCATTTGGATCCAAATAGTTCTGTGAAAATGGTAGAGTTTGATCAAAGTCAATACCAATCTTCTAGTTTATATTTCACTTAAGGTACTGGGGAGAAAGCAAGTCTTTGCTGTTTTCTTGGCCCTAGAGCTATCCAAGAGTGTGCCTGGGAGCTGCCCAGCACGCTGTGGGTGGACGTTCTTGGCTGAAGGTCACTAAACTTGAATCTTGAGGCTTTGGGCTGAGACACTGTGCTGGGGGTGGGTGGTGGGAATCAAAAGTAATTGCATTGTAAGCTTAATACCTACAAAGATGCTTCCCAAAATAAGGGGAAAAAATGATATCTAAATAACTTGTAAGTTTTAAAAGCCACTTTACTTTACAAATATGACTTTTAATTGCCTTTATTAATTTTGTAAGCTAAAATTTCAGGTCATATCCTAATTAAAGCACTAATTATGTGAGTTGTTTGCAAGTTTAATAATTACAACATGAAGTCTTTTCATGTAATCAGTGTATTGCTATTAATTTTGTTTTAATATCATACAAATATTATTTTTTCAGCTGATTAGGGTACTAGTATGCTGCCAAAAGCATCTACTTCTATCTAAATTACACATTTGTATTCTGCAAGTTGTTCAAAATGTATGAGCAGGCTGAAAATCCACTGAGAATATTATTCTTATATTCAGGGATCTGGATCAAAGCAGTCACAATATAGTGAAATTAAAAGTCGGTGAAATTTAATAAAATTACCAACTGTTGAATCCATACGCCACTTGACCTATGTTGTAATCCTTGGTTGTGCTCTTGAAAACAAGGCTGATTTAGAAGACATCTTTCTTCTTTTATATTTTATTTTTAATTTTGAATAGATAATATATTCAGCTCATTAAAATGAGAAGATACAAACAGGTATACAAAAAAAGTCTCCCTCCTACCTCATATCCCCCAGGTTCTTCCTCAGGGAAAGCAATTCCTTGTATACCCTTCTAGAGAGATATTATGCCTATATAAACATATATAGAGACCTTCTAGTATGGGCAAGATGGTGTAGGCTTCTCTTTCCATGTTCCTCCCTGCTAAGCATGACTAAAGCTTGGAAATAACACAAGAGACAACTAAAACAGAACCCTGAAAGACCAAAAGAGGGAATGAATTGGTTAGGGACCACAGGACCAAAGAAACAACACAGTAGCAGGGCACCCAAGAGAAGGTAACCCAGGCCTGGCCTTTCCCAACACCCACTCTAGCAATGGAAGGCAGCCAGGTAGCCTATTCTTCCTCCAAATTGAGTAGGAGTCCTGCTAAAAACTCTAGGCAAGCCCAACAGAAACAGCAAAGGGGCCCAACCGGATGTTCCCCTAACAATAGCTGGTCAGAGGACTTTCCCACCAGCCTGAGACTCCCCTCTCCCACCCAGAGACCTCACTTGACAGTGGACATTAACAAGAGGGATTCTGCTGCAACAAACATCCAGCCCAGGAGGTGCTTTTTGTCCTCACAGCCTGGAGATTCCCTTCCCCCACCTAAAGGCACCGGGCAACCCAGCCTGGGAAAGCTCCTTTCACTTTCTCAGCTGGTACCAACAAACACCAGTGGGGGCTCCAGAGGCAAGAGACAAACCAAACAGACCAAAATAGCCCCATAGAGGCCCTGAAAATTAGATTGTGATTGGAACCACAGCCCACAAAAGTAGGCTAGGACCCAAACAGAGTGACTGCCTGTTAAAATAAAAAATTCAAAAAGGGCCCAGAGTCTCCTAATGTAACGGCCAAATTGTCCAGATTAAAATCACTCATTGTACAAAGAACCAAGAAAATCACAATTTGCACGAGGAAAGATAATCCTCTGACTCCCACATTGAGATAACCAGATGATGGATTATCTGATAAGTATTTTAAAGTAACCATCATAAAAAAGATTCAACAAGCAATTATAATTTCTCTTTAAACAAGTGAAAGAAATAGAAATTTCAACAAAGAAATAGAAGTTATAAAAAAGAACCAAAAGAAAATTATAGAACCAAAAAATAACAGAAATAATACAACTAACTGGATAAGCTCAGTAGTAGAGATGACGGAGGATAGAACCAGCGAAGCTGAAGACAGATCAATAGAATTTACCCAATCTGAACAACGGAGAGAAGATAAACTGAAAACAACCAAGCCTCAGGAACCTGTGAGACCATAACAAAAGATCCAACATTTATAGGATTGGAGTCCTAAAGGGGGAGGAGGAAGAGAGTAGGACTGAAAGAGTATTCAATGAAATAATGACTGAAAATTCCCCAAACTTGGCAAGACATGTAAACCTACAGATCAAGAAGCTGAGTGAATCCCCAAATAGGATAAATCTAAAGAAATCCATGCTAAGACACATCATAATTAAACTTCTGAAAACTGAAAACAAAGAAAATGTCTTGAAAGCAGACCAAGAAACACTACATTACCTATATGGGAATACCAATTCAAATGACAGCAGATTTCTCATCTTGAAACAACAGAGGCCAGAAAGAAGTGACACAACGGTTTTCAAGTGCTAAAAGAAAAGAACTGTCAACTGTGAATTCTATATCTGATGAAACTATACTTCAGGAATTAAGAGGAAATAAAGATATTATCAGATGAAAAATAACTAAAAGGATTCATCACTAGCAGATCTTCTTTTAAAGAATGACTAAAGGACATTCTTCAAAAAAAGGGAAATGATAGGGAAAGGAATCTTGGATCATCAGGAAGGAAGAAAGAACAATGAAGAATGCAGAAATTTGGGTAAATACAATGGACTATCCTTCTTCTCATGAGTTTCCTAAATTATATATGATGATTGGTATAAAAATTATCATCTAATACTCAAGATAATGATATTTAAAAGTGGGAAAGATAATGGGAACTAACCGGGAGTAAGGTTTCTGCACTTCACTCAAATGGTGAAACGTTGATGTCAGTAGATTGTGATAAGTCCTATATACATATACCCAACCACTAAGAAGACTATACAGAGTAATATACTCCAAAAAACTACAAGTAAATCAAGATGGAATTTTTTTAAGTGTTCAAATAACCCACAGGAAGATAAGAAAAGGGAAATGGGGGAATGAGAAACAGAAGAAACAAACAGAAAACAAATAAAATGATAGACTTATGCCCTTACATATTAATAATTATATTAAATGTAAGTAGTCTCAGAATATGATATATTTTTCCTTTCTTGTTATGCAAATGGCATTGCACTATCACTTCTATCCTATACTTTGCATTCTTCTCTTAGCAATATATCTAGGAGATCATTCTAAAGAATGATCAGTTCATAAAAAGTTTCATTCTTTTCACACTGTTGTGTAGTATTCCAGGACATAGAAGTCCCATGATTTAATCAGTTCCCTGTTAGATATTTAGATTGTTTTCCATCAAAGCTGCCTTTCTAAACCAACTCAGAGTTTCTCAGAGAGGGAAACCCCGAGGTCCCAGAAAGGTAAATAGAGATGGGAAGAGGGACACTATCTTGGTTCCTATCCACTTTCCAGTTTTTGCTAAGTCCCAATTCCAAATTCCTGAAGCAAGAATCTAACGGATCCAGCTGGATCAGATGCTCACCCAAGTCTAGCTGGCTCTGACTAGGGATCTGGAATCACAAACCCCCACTACCACTTAGCAAGTACTGTGGGATCCAACTCTACAGGAAGGAAAAGGGACAATGTTCTCTAAGAGGGGATACCAAGTTGGGAAGGAAATTATTAGCATCTCTAGTTCTTTATTCCTTTAGATAATTACCATAAATAGCAGCCTTACAGACCTATCTCAGTCTCTTCCTATGTCTATTTATAAATTTTTTTCATAGAATCTTTCTGTGAATAAAGCATCTTTTTTCCTACATCATTGTTTTTCCTACATTAGTACAACCATACTTCATTAGTCAGCCGATAAATTGGAATCCCCAGCTACCTCAAAGCCCAGCTGGGAAGAATGACAAGGGGAAGGTTTCTACTGTGTCAATCTATCATGTACTGAAGCTCTTGCCTCATTGAGATTTTGTAAAGAGAAATGAGATCATTTTTTAAAACTGTGTGGAGCCCTTTGTGGAAAAGCACAATGAAATACCAGGTACTGTTGTGAATGGACAGATATCCTCATCACCCTTAGAAGTCTAAAATTATCCTGCCATTTGGTGTTACTGTTCAAAAACCTTTTATCTAGCATAAGGTGAGCTTTTGCTCCATGTCAACAGGGCCATATCGTAGAGTGAGACTCATCCAGGCCTTCATTATGGAATAAATCTGTCTTTGGTATTACAGAGCATAATCATCCCAAGGAGTTTAAGTCTAAGCCTCATTTAATCTAATTTGCTCATTGCTAGGTCATGTCACTTAATCCTACCAGTGTTTGCATGAGATGAGCAAATATTTTTTCCTATTCTCCCATAGCCTAAAAGTCTTTACTCCTCCTTTCCATGCTGTCTGAAGGAGACTCCAATTTGAGTTAATCTTTTAAAGTTCAGATATACCTGGAATGGCTAAAAAGTTACCCATATTTCACATGTTTGTGTAACTTTAAGCTCTCATGTTTTCCCCTCTTACCTAAGCAGTCTCTTTGAGCCAACAGGAATTTTGAGTTAGGAAGCTGGTGAGGGAGGATAGGAGGAGAGAGACACCAGAGAATGGTGAGACAATTGGGGAGATGACAGGCTGTTGAAATGAGAGATTCGAAGATTGTTCTCACATAACCCCCAATATCAGGCTTTGGCGCCTTTTAAATGACTCAAGAACTTAGGTTCCCTCCAAAGTCTCCACCACCCACGTCCTTCTAGGAGTCTCCCCTGGGAAAGTCTCCTAAGACCCAGGAGCCAGTTCATTCCCATGTAGTAGCATTGCTCCACCAATGCAAGTTTCCACCCTGTCGTTGATATCTGCTTTTCCATCCACTCAGTGGGCATGTCCACAGCCACTGCTAGGCACAATTCTAGGCATGCTAGGCTCTGCTGCTGCAGCTCCACTGGTTCTCAGCTGGGTATAGCTGCTCTGCTGCTATTCTGTGCCATCTTACCAGGCCTGGCAGGCGTAGCAGGTTGTCCTTGCTAAGTACTCGATGCCCAAGTCGTCTGATCACTCCTCTAGGCCAAGAAGCTGCCTCTGCTATTTATTTTGAGACTTGAGGGAGTCGCCAATGCCTGCTGGGCTGTGCCACTGGGAGGCTGGATGTAGGGAATGGTCCCTCCTTTTTGTGATACCCTCTGTTAGAGGCCCCAGTGAGTGTCAAAGTTTGGTGGAAAAGCTCCTTCCATCTTTTCTTATAGATCTCTTTTTCTACAGGACCCAGACATGTGCTCAGGGGTGAGCCAGAGACTAGCAGTAATGATGCTATATTTAGAATCTCCATCCTCTCTGACAGATAAAGCTTTGCTCCCAGATCAAGCTCATCATGCCTAGCTCTTTCTTCCCTAAGATGCATTCTTTTCCAGAAGACCCTGGAGTTTCCATACCACCCCCAGATAGGCTTCTGTCAAGCTGCCCTACCAGTTTGTCAAATTTACCCAGCTGTGGCTATGCCAGCAGGGTATACTGTTTGAATTCCTTTCTGGAAGGCTCTTTGGCCCTGGGGGACTTCTGGGAGGCTGTAGCCACCAGGCTTCCAATCATGCCCAGATGTGCTCAAACTCCCAGGCCTGAATGGTAGGCTGTGATGGCTCAGGAGGCATCCCTATCATAGCCCGACAACAAGGCTACCTGAATCCATGTTCTCCTTAGTAACTTGAATGAAGTAAATATAGTTTGCCATTTTACTGCTGCTTAGTACACACTTTAGGTGTGTGATTAGATTTTTCTTTTCTTGATACCGACTGGCACATAAAAACACTTCACTCCAAAATCAAATGGTTGATCTGTACCTTATACTGCTACCCAATTAAAGCATAAGTCAGGGAGGCTGATCAGAGCACTTAGCAACCACTCGTATGACTAGCTCTCACAGTCTTAATGGCTTTATGGAAGCAAGTCTTGTTCATTATTCAACAAGTATTTATTGAGCACCTACTAGGTGTTGAGCACTGTTTTAGGAACTGAGAAAATAGCATCGAAAAAAACAGAGAAAATCCCTGTACTCTGGAAGGCTACATTCTGGGGTAGGGGAGGGGGGAGGCTTAACAA